CTCTCAGATTGGATAATTTCAGTTGACCCTTCTTGAAGTTCACTGATTCTTTGCCTACTCAAAACTATAATTGGCCCCCTTGGTGGGTTTTTCATTTCAGTTATTGCACGTTCAGCTCCATAATTGTGCTTTGGTTCCTTTTTGTAGTTAGTGTCTTTTTATTGATATTGTCTATGTGGTCCTGTATTATTCTTCTGGTTTTATTTAGCTCTTTGAGCGCATTTGAGACAATCAAGTTAACCTCTTGGTTTACTACGTCCACGGTCTGTGCTTCCTCAAGCACAGTTTCTGTTCCTATCTTCTGTGAATTAGCCATCCTCGTGGGGTTTTTTAATTTTTTTATTTTTCGTATGCTTAGTTTGTTGTTAAAAACGACATTTTGGGTATTGTAATATAGTAACTCTGGACATCATATTCCAGGGTGTTTTTTTCTTGGTGCGAGATGTAGCTGTTTATTTGTTGTCTTCTAAAGTGTTTTTCTAATTTGTATTCTTTGTCATGTGTGCTCTGTGAGTCTTTGTTACTTTAGTTCCTGTTCAGCTAGTGTTTTGACGGAAAGAAACATCCTTGAATGCTGGGGGCGGGAGGGGGCGGGAGAGAGGAGCAGAGGAGGAAGAGGAGAAGGAGGAGAAGGAAGAAGAAAGAAGAAGAACACCAACAACCTCTTGCAGTCTTTGCACATTTGTTGTATGCTTAGGGATTTGTTCAGTGCTTAGCCAGGCCATTTAAAACTCCACCTCATCCTTCGCTTCTTGCTTGCACTGAGACTAGAGAGCAGCCAGACTTGAAAGTTTAGGTTCTTTTCAGGACTTGTCTAAGCATGCATCCAGCCGTGGACATGCACATGGCTTTCTAAATTCCACAGGAAACGTGGACAATTTTGAATGATCTAATTTCTCCCTCTCCCCAGCTTTTCCTCCTCAGCTTTGAGCACTCTTTTGAATGAATTAACTATAATGTTTTGCTGCTACAAGCTGCAGACTGTTTGCCTTACAATGTTTTAAAGGAATATGTGCCTGTTTTTGTTTCCTGAGTGAGTTCTGAAGAAGGTGCGTTAGCCCTTTGGCTAGCCCCAGACAGACTAGAAGAGACAAAATTCTTTGAGGTGAGTCAGCTCGGCTCTCTTCAGAAGCTGG